GTGGTTCTCTATTGTTGGTTGGTATCGGTATCACCTGGTGGGTTTGTGACAACACAGCTGGCAAGGGCCCACCTTCAGGGTTTCTGAGTTGGCAGATTTGGGCAGGGGTTTGAAATGTGGACTTTCCTTTTAGACAGGGTCTCACTATATAGTACAGGCTGGTTGTTGTACAATTTTTTTTTTATACCAGCAATAGAACTCACGACCTCGTGCTTGCCAGGTAGGCACTGTGCCGCTGAGCTAAATCCCCAGCCCCAGGCTGGCTATTGAACTCACTTTGTAGCCCAGGTTGGCCTCAAACTCATAGTGATCCTCCTGCCTCAGCTTCTCCAGTGCTGGAATCACAGCAGTGAGCCACAACACCCAGTTTGGCCTTTTTGTTTGTTTTTTGTCTTCTGTGGTACTGGGGATTGAACCCAGGACCAGGACTAAGTTCAGCTTCCCGATACCTTTTTTAATTTTTTTATTTCAAGACAGTTTCTTGCTAAGTTGCCCAGCCTGGGCTTTGAATTTATGATCCTCCAGCCTCAGCCTCCCAGAGTGCTGGGGTTACCAGTGTGCACCACCATGCTGGCTGAAATTTGGTATTTCTAATAAATTACCAGGTGATGCAGATGTTCTTGGTCCAAAGACCATGATTTGAGAATCACCAAACTAGACTAGTTGATGCTCAAATGTGAGTCTGCCTGGAGCTGTCAGGTGCTGTAAATCAAGAACCAGCTCCTATCAACTTCCCTTTCTGCTAAGTGACTGCTCAGAAGCATCTAACAGGGACTTAGTGGCATCAGAACAGTCTAGTTACTGGGAGTGAAGCAGGCTTCTCTGCAGAAGCCCTTTCGCTAGTTGGCCTGGTTGCCATGGCAACAGCCAGCTAGCAGCCAGGAGATTGCAGAAACAGAATCATGGGGCTCTTTGCTGTATTGGGGAAAGAGGGCAAAGGTCCTGGATTAATGGCACGTGGATTAAAAACGTGGAGGGAGGGAGGCAGTGAGGGGGGAGAGGAGGGGCGTGGCTTTCAAGGTCCCTCCTCACCCGGTGGAGCTCTGGATTTCCTCAGAAACTTGCCCAGCCTCCAGCTGCAAACCCAGGCAGAGTTTAAACTTTGGTTGCATAACAGGGAGAGGAACAAAGGGAAGGGGTGTGTGTATGGGAGGATGAGGACCGAGTGGGGGTGGGAGGTATTAGGAAAGAGGAATCCACACGTTAACCCATTGAGTCCCCATCCAAACCGCCCAGGATACACGGAGGTCAGGCACGCAGTTGGCTGCATTTGGCCTTCACTTAACCAGACTGGAAACCTGCTCAGCTGAGGCTAAAGGGCCCATTTTGCCCATTTTTTCTTTCATCTCAGGGCTGCCTTTTTGAAACTGTTGAACTGTTTTATTTTTTAATATTTTTTTGGTACCAGGAATCAAACTCACTACCTCAAGCTTGCCAGGCAGGTGCTGTGCCGCCAAGGATTTCAGTCTGGGGGCTGGCAGGGAGGAGAGACGAAGGTCTGGGGAAGGTTATGTCAACACTTTAGGGAGTCAAGCTGGTCATCACCTGAGCTTTGCACTTGACAGCAAGTGCCCCCTCTTCTCCGCTCTCAAGCTTTGCCCCCTCGATGCCACCACCCCATCCCCTTGCGCACACGCTCAGGCCCGCCTCCCACCCCCACCCCCTCCCTCCTCCCCTTTCTGGCCTCAGATGGCGCTGCTCAAATTTGACGGCGGCTAAGAGTAAAGTTCATTTAAAATTTCCATTTCTGCCTTGCTTCCTGAGATTTTGATGGCTGGGGTAGGCATGCCCCCAGGACTGGCAGTTTTAACAAGTCCCAGGGTAATTCTCCTGCAGGTGTCCTGCTGAATGGCCTTTGACATCTCCACAGCCTCTACTTCCCCGCCTGTACTTCCTCCTGACACCCCCAGCTTTCAGTGACTTCTAGTTCTGGCCTCTCCGCTGCGTATGTCCTCTTGTCCCTGCTTTCTCTCAAGTGTGCCCCAGGAATCCCCACAGCACTGTGCAGACTGCATCTCCCCAGCTGTCCCTCACTGCCCAGCTCACCCAGAAGCTGGCAGGGACATGCTCTGCTTTAGTAAGGCCCGCCACCAGCGTCTTTGCTCTGCTTTATATGGCTCTGGCTCATGACCAGCCACAGGCCTGAGACTGCGGGCCTCAAGCGGCGCCAAGTCAGCTGCCCTAACATCAGCAGGGAACTCTGATGTCTAGGGTGCTTTGCAGAGGGGCTGGAGCAGAGAAGCATCCCATTTGTGGAGACAGAAGAGGCTTTGGGCTGCACTAGCCAGATGGGGTTGTTCCATTTATCTGCCTCAGCTGCCCTGTCTGTAAAAGAGAAAGACCACGTGCGTATCAAAGAGCTTCAGCAAGTTCAAGGTCCTCCTAAGCATGAAGTCAGGCCTGAGGCTCGGCCAGGGATGGGACGTAAGTCTCTGACTCCTCTTTACTCTGACAATAAAGCTCACGTGGGCTGCTGTCCTGCTGTCACCTACCCTGCTGTCCCCTGGTTATCATCACGGGCGTCAGAACTCCAGCCGCAAGACACAGGGACAGGATGTGCCCTCACCCCAATTTTGCTGATAAGGAAACTGACTTATCCAGGGAGGGGAATAAAAAGATTTGGCCAAGGCCGGGCTTTCTGGTTGGCTGTTCAAGTGGAATTTGGCTCCTGATCTCCAGATAGAGGCTTTTTTTTTTTTTTTTTTGCCTTTGAACTTTGGTGAATGCCCTATCCTGGCCCTGGCCCTGGGTCACCGCAATTCTATGGGTGTTTATGGACTTCAAAGACTCACTTACTGCATATTTTCATGGAAACCTCTTGAGCAAAATGGTCAGGACTGTACTTAATTCAGTAGCTTGGAGTGTTATAGGCGGCATCTCAGACACAGTGTCAGAGAGCTGGTATGACATCCACAGAGTTTTTTCAAGTGGAGATTGAGCCCAGGGCCTGGCATATGCCATGCAAGCCTTCTACCACTGAGCTATGCCCTCTATCCCAGACCTGTAGGTTTGGAGAAGTGACCACGCCCCTCTGGCATCTACATCACACCATACCTCTCCAAGCACAACACGGATCTGAGACCCTCTTTTTCTTCACGTGTATGAACAGATCATCCATGCAGGGCCACGTTGGGAATGAGCTCGTGCTCTGGGCAGAGGTTTGCATAGCATGACCTTGGAGATACACCATGACCTTGGAGATTCCTTAAGCCTCTGTGTGAAGGAGAGCAAGCCAGAGTCTGAAGGGAACAGGGACCCGGAACAAGGTCCTGAGACTCTCAAGCAGCAGGGATTCCTGATGGGAATGTGGGGAGCTGCACCAGCATGAGAAATGCATGGGCTCAGCAGACACTGCCCAGGGGCTGGGGAGGCGCCATCAGGGGAGACATGCTTTCCAAGGACAGAGGGAGTGGGAAAGGGTTGGCCATGCTTAGCCTGCTGATAGCAATCAGGCGGGATCCCAGTATAAAAACCTACTACTTGGGACCTTGAGACAAAACCCTTCACCTCCTTGAGCCTCGGTGTACTCATCTGTCAAATGGGAATGCTGGTATATACTTTTGAGAGACTTGCTGTAACGTATGGAACATGTTTAGCATCTGCTTAGGATCTAGTTGGTGTTCAATAAGTGGCATTAACCCCAAGCAAGTAGGAGCATATCACAGGAACTCAGTAACAAGGAACAAGGAAAGGCCTTTGAGGTATTGATAAAGACCTAGCCGGCTTCTTGAGATGCTACTTTTTGAGAAGCTTCCGCAGGAAGTGGGCATGGTGGTGCATACCTGTAATCCCAGCACTCCAGGGGGCTGAGGCAGAAAGATCACAAGCCATGCCTGACCAATTTAGCAAATGGGTAAGACCCTGTCTGAAAAAAGGGTGTGCATTGGGAGTGTAGCTGAGTGTCATGAGGTCTAGGATTCAATCCCCAGTACTAAAAGAAAAAAAAAAGTTTCCCCAGGACTGTGGATATATCTCAGTGGTAGCCACTAGTTTAGCATGCACAAAGTCCTGAGTTCCATCTCCCCCTTAAAAAAAGCTTCCAGGGAAATAAGTGTTGCTTTCAGGGCCCGCTAGGGCTGCTCGGTCCCTGAGCCCTGTCTCTGTTGTAGGTGCCCTGAGTTTTCAGGTCGTTCACTTTTAGAAGAGCCAGGTTGGGTGAGACATGGGACTGCACCACTTGCAGCAGCAAAAGGCCTCCCATCCTGGTGGCCCTCCATTGCCCTGTGAGGATCATACCTTCCTGAGCAGCCCTTGAAGAAGCCATACCACTGCACCCACAGCAGGACAAACATCTTCCATTGTGTTCAGTTTGAGAGCCCTGAAAATATGCAAACATGCAGAGCTCTGGACAAACTACAAAGTCCTTGCCCTGCAGTGACCAGCATAATGTCCTGAAATGACTGCTGTCCAGTTTCCAGATAGACTCTCACCTAAAACAAGACTGAAAATCCAGCCCATCCTGCCTGCAGGATCCTAGCTCTTTTGATCCCTACTGCTTTCCATCCAACCCAATCTTAGCTTCAGCCCATCTTTCAAGAATACTGGATGGTTTCACCCAGCAAATGCCCCCTACTACCTGTATTTGGCAGAACTTTAATGGGGAGGCAGAGACAGGAGACGGCTAACACACACCTGCCCTGCAGGGCTTCCAATACTCTGGGCCTTGGAGGACTCCCTGTGGGAGCCATGACATCCAGTGGAAGGATTCAAGTGACTTTCCAGAGGTGGGAGTGAGGATAGCACACAGACAAGTGAACATGGAAAAGAACCACATTCCTAATGGTTCAGAGGTTTAAAAGTGCCCAGCACTTACAAGGGTTCGTCCAGTTTTGCTTGAAAAATAATTGCTCTCATTGCCAGAAAAAAATGTCTAAGCACATACCTATAAAGATGATTAAAAGTACTGCATAACATATAGATGGAATGAAGTCATTAACAAGCCCAGGACTGGTGTCAGATTTAAACACACTGTTTGCATTTTTGGAATCTTAAGAACTTACAAAGATCAAGCTGGAAAGACAGGTTGGGGCCAGATTTTGAATGTCCTTGCATTCCAGCCACAGGAGATCCATTTGTTCCACAAGCTTCACCTGTGTACCTGGTGTGAGAGTGGAAATATGAATTCAGTCTCCTTCCTTGACAACAGCCTATCTGGATGGGGGCAGAGAGTTGTCACAGAGCTCTGGAGGAGAGCTTTGGAAAAAGCCTGGTAGCTCCAGATTCCTGGCAAAGTGGAGGATCTATTTCTTTTAAATAGTGCCAGGAAAAACAAAACAAAACAAAACAAAACAAAACAAAACAAAACAAAACAAAAACCAGAGCCTGCAGAAAGAGGAGGGCCACAGGAGAAGAATCCTGTAATTCTGTATCCACCATGTACAGCATGACAACAATGTCAACACTTCTTGTTGACTTGCCTCTTAAGCCCCAGCTACAGACCAGACAAAGGAAATATATTCAAAATGCAAATACTATTAGGCTCAATAACTAAAATACAGAAGCTGAGATGGCTGAAGTTGGAGTTAGTGGCGGGGGGCAGGGCCAAGGGAAGGGCAAAGCAAGGGTACTACACTGTACAATACATATATATATATATATATATATATATATATATAATTTTTTTTGGTGTGGCATATTGAACTCAGGACCTTGTACTTGACAGGCAGGCACTGTGCCCTGAACTATAGCCCTGGCCTACCCTGTACAATATTAAGTGATACTGTCTACATACTGGGTATGGTGGTGCACTTCTGTAACTCCAGCATCTCTGGGAGGCTGAGGCAGGAGGATTGTAAATCCAAGTCCAGCTCGGAAAATTTAGCCACTTAGCAAGACCCTGTCTCAAAAAAAATTTTTTTTAAAAAGGGCTGAGGATATAGTGTGAAGGTTCTGAGTTCAATCCCTAGAACAGGAAAAGAAAAAAAAAAAAAAAAGAAGAAGATATTACCTACAGTTCATGGATCAAAAACTAAAAGTCTAAGGTTGCTTCTTTTTTGTTTGTTGTTTGTTTGTTTGTTTGTTTTGGGGGGTTGGGTACCAGGAATCAAACTCAGGACCTCACGCTTGCCAGGCAGACACTGCACCACTGAGCTAAATCCCCAGCCCTAAGGTTGCTTCTTAAATTACCAAGATGACTAAGAGGAACTTCAGGTACATAATTATGTTGGAAAGGTGTGGGTAAGGGAGGTGAACTGTGGTTTAAGAGGTGCAATTCTGTGGTTAAGGACTCAAGAGATAATAGCTAGCACAACAGGTATAGGATGAAGACAGCCACAAAGACAGCGACTTACCAGCTTGGAGATAAGGATCAGGAGAAAAGGTGAAATGAAGTAAGAACTTCTCCTGTCTGGGCAGTGCAGATGAGGAGACATGGAGGGGAATGGGCAGGAAATATATTGTCTGTTACCCCTATAGGTATAATTTTGATTGCGAAGTCTACAGTTACCATTTTTTTGTTTTGTTTTGTTTTGTTTTTTTGTTTTTTCTCCGGTACCGGGAACTGAACTCACGACCTTGCGCTTACCAGGCAGGCGCTTTGCCACTGAGCTAAATCCCCAGCCCTACAGCTACCATTGTTTTGGTACTGGGAGCCAGTTAATGAGTTAGTTCTGTGGCCAATGACAAGACTGTATCAATATTAAAAAGGAGGCTTATGGGGCTTTATATGTAGCTCCGTGCTAGCGTGCTGACTGGTAAGATGGCAGAGGTGGCTGACTTAGAATACGACACAATTTGAACAACACAAGGAATAACTAGGGAAGCTTCTCTTTGCTCCCATCTCCATCCTCCCCATTTTCCAGAAATAAACATCCTTACACTTTTCTCTCCAGGAACATTTCATGTGCATCCAGGCATATACACTATTTACCTTCTTCCCCTATGTTCCACCACAATTACTTGAAAGATCAGTAGTTATAGCACTGTATGCCTATTATTCTGCACCTTGCTTTTTTCTTGAGTTTCTTTTTCCTTTTTTTTGAGACAGGGTCTTGTTATGTAGTGCAGGCTGAACTTGAGCTCACTATGTAGCCCAGGCTGGCTTCAAACTCATGGTGATCCTCCTGCATCAGCTTCCTAAGTGCTAGGATTACAGTTGTGCACCACCACACCCGGCTTTCTTGAGTTTCCTTGTTTGTTTATTTTAACACCTGAATCAAGTCCACGTATGGATGTAGGAACAATAAATGAGAGGTCTGTTTCCACATAGCTTCACTAACTGTGTATCACTAAACTTTAGGACTTGGACATAAGTGAAAGATGGTATCTCAGCCAAGTTTTCAATTATATTTCTTTTATGCATCATGTTGAGAAACTTTTCAGATCCTTAAGAAGTATTTCCTTTTTTTTGGAAACTGAGAGTCCTATCTTTTGCACATTTATGTTAATTAGTCACTTATTAATTAGTCTGAGTTTTTTATTAGATCTAGTCCTTTTGACTATATTTGCAAATATTTTCTTCTAGTCTGTCATTTGTCTTTGCTTACTGGTCTTTGCCACACATCAAGTTTTTGTTTTTCCTGGTACTGGGGACTGAGCCCAGGGCCTTCACAATGAGTTATATCCCTGGGCCCTTTTTACTTTTTATTTTGATATGCTGTCATGCCAAATCACTCAGTTCTGCGGACTAGGTCAAACTTGCAGTCCTCTTGCCTCAGCCTCCCAAAGTGCTGGGCTATCATACCAGGCTTGACATACAACATTTAAATTTTTTGTTTGTTTTGTTTTGAGACAGGGTTTCACTCTGTGATTCAGGTTGGCCTTAAACTCACTACATAGCCTAGGCTGGCCTCCAACTCCTGGCAGTCCTCCTGCTTCAGCCTCCAGAGTGCTGGGATTATAGGTATGCACCACAACTGGTGAATTTTAATTTGTAATGTAGATAAATTTTGAAATCTTTTCACCTATGGCTTCTAGGGTTTGTTATCACTCAGAAAGACTGGTGGAGCTTAGGGTCATAAATTCTCCTGTAGATTTTTGGGATTTCTCTTTTTTTTTCTTCAAAGGAAATAATTTATTTCATCCATCCAGATTTTTTTTTTTTTTTTTTTTTTTTTTTTTTTTGAGACAAGGTCTCTCCCTATGTAGTCCAGGCTGGCCTTGAACTCGTGGCAATCCTCCTGTAGCAGTCTCCTGAGTGCTGGGATTATAGGTGTGCAGCATCATGTCTGCCTCCATCCAGAATTTATGAGGGCATATTGTCAGCATGAAGTGTGTATACAACCTTTTTTTTTCCAACTGTATCATGAGATTTTGGGGGTTGCATAGAGGTTGGAAAGAGGCTTGCAAAGAGGCAAGACAATGAGCAGGATAGTACATAAAGAAAAGTAGTGTCCCTACTTAGGCGGTAGAGCAGAAACTGAAGTTGCCGTAGACAGGAAGTGGTCCAGATCATACAGGTGAAAGGTCACTCAACTGGGCCTGAACCAGGGTCAGGGCAGGAGGAAAACTGAAGAGTTCTTGGAGGTAGAACCTATAGGATTCAGTTGTTGGTTCACAGGGGAAAAGTAAAAGTAAGATGCCTGTTCCTGATGTTTCCTCTGTGATGTTATTAATGGCAGAGAGGGAATTCCTGTCTTAGAGCTTCTGTCACTCAATCCTCAAATCCCTATCACCTGATAGGAAGCGGGTGGGATTCTCACCACCAACCAAGGTGCCAGATTTTCAAACACGCTGCGCCCTCTGGATTTCTTCGGTCCACCCCTAGCCTCCTGCCTGGCTGCTTCCAGCACCCAAGCAAGACAGCCTCCAAATCGCAGCCTTCCGCCGTCAGGTTGGAGGGACCCAGGGCACCGCTAAGATCACACGAAAGCGGCGGCCAGCAACAGGAGGCCTCACGAGTTGACTCACAATCATGGCCTCACGGTGACCCAGGGGGTGGGCTCGGGAAGTGGACACCTTAAGGTCAAGGAAGGAAAGCCACTGCCACTGAGAAGGTAGCCCGCCCCGGAACTGAGTGCCCGGCCAGGGGGCGGGGCCGTCCGGCGAGGCGTGAGGGCGCGGCCAGACCGGGCTGTACCAAGAGCTAGAGTTTGCAGGGGGAATTAAAGTGGCCGACTCGTCTCGGGCGCGTCCACGCCGCTTGGGTGGGCGGGGCTGTGGCCGCGGAGGCCACGCCTACCCCCCTGCGACCTCGAGGGTAGTGGTTGGCGCCTCAGTGGTGCGGGTCTGCGTTCTGCCCAGGTGCAACAGAGAGGTGTCGGGTCTCCCGCGGTGAGTGATCTCTCAGAGGGAGCCGGGTGAGTGAAGTGGGGTCCCCAGGGCCCCCGGGACGCCTCTGTCCGAGCGGCCTCCCGGTCCTCGGCACTGGGGAAGGCTCTCGGGCCGGGTCGCGACGCGTCTCGCGGAACGCTCACGCGGTAGGCGCGGCTTCCACCTCAGCCCTTCCCGGAGTGGCCCTTCCCCTCGAACTAATTTCTGGCGGCGGAGGGTCGTCGTTTCCACATCCCTGGGTCGGGAGCGTCCGGCAGGCCCGGCAGCCGAGGGTTAGGTCTTGGCGTCTGAGGGCTCGGGCTCCAGTCCCTGCGTTCCGCCCTCGTGTTAAGCCACTTCGAGTTTCTGGGCCTCACTTTGCCCATCTGTAGGATGGGACTGGGGTAGCGGCGAATTAAAGGGATTACTCATGCAGGATGCGCTCAGGGAGCGCGGATGGGACCCGAATCTGATCGTGCTGCATCAGGTGGGCTGAATCCACGGCGCCTGGGCATCGCATTGCCTGCATCCCTGAGGCAGTGCCCCCTCAGGTCGGCGCCGCTGCGACACGCCTTCGCCTGGCTCCCCTGGGCAGCCGTGGCATCCTAGGCTCCGGGAGCAGATAGGCAGAAGGTTGAGGTCTTGGGCGGCGGAGCTGGGGGTGGGTTGGGGGTGGACCTCTGGGTTACTTGACCTCAACTTTTTGCTTTTCATTTTTTCAAGGCGAGTCATCATTGTGTAAGCTATTGGCCAGTACTGGAGAGTTCGGATTCATTTCAGTGAAAACGACTGCCTCCTTCCTTAGACTCATAAAACTGCAGTCTTCTCTTCGAGCCTGACCAAGCCAGAGAATAATGCTAGCGCAAAGGGAGTCTAGATTGGCGTCCAGGGGTATCCGGGGTTTGAATCTTAGCACCTTGACGGGATACATAACTTCTTGGACCTTCTGTTTTGTTGTCGGTGACACAGGCTTCTGCCCCCACAGAGTTGAGATTTTAAGGATCAGGACAGGGTTTCAGAGAGTGATACTGAGAGTTGTAATGTTTGTAAATAGAGCAGTTATCTAACTCTCTGGGATCTGCTGTCCTGTCTGCCACGCTGTAAATCTTATGCTTTGTCTGCAGAGAAGGCCGAGGTTTATTAAAACTCTCTCAGAGGAAATCCCCCTAGAGTGGTAGTGTTTGGAAAGACAGGCCAGTGTGACCATTTAGTAAACAGGGAACCCAGAAGAGTCCACTTTCTTTTTCTTAGGGTCCCTCTAAGGACTGTCTTAATTTCCTTTTGAGACAGTAGTTCTTGACTTTCATACCCTTTGGTATGGGACTAGGGTTCCTTGAACAGATAGCTTAATCATTGTCAAAAGTGGCCAGAAAACCGGCCTGTATTTGAGAGAATGGAATATTAGCTTCTAGTCATGGTCAGTGGCCTTAACTCCCCCAAATTCTTGACATCTAGCACTTGAAAAAAATAATTGGAGTGGGCATGGTGGTGCATGCCTGTAATCCCAGCACACAGGAGGGTGGGGCAGCAGGATCGCTCTGAGTTTGAGGTCAGCCTGGGCGGCATAGTGAGTTCAAGTCCAGCCTGAATTACAGAGTGAAACCCTGTCTCAAAAACATAAACACAAAAAGAAAAAAATAATTGGGATTGTTCATGGTAAGCAGATTTAGAATGAAACAAATCCCAGGGGTTTGGCACCTGGAAAGGTGAACACACCTGGGTAGTAGTTTGTTAACAGCCCTAGGAGATGTCTGTTACCTGACAAACCCAAAATTTTAGGATCCGCCCATTGCCTCTTGGCTGTTGGTCCCTTAACCCCTTGAAAATCAAGATCTGCATTAGATAAACCTAAGTATACTTAGGAGATTGGACAACACTGGACTTACTTGGTATGTCCAGAATATTTACTTGTTCAACCCCTGGAATACTTCAAGTTAAAAAGAATCTAGCTCTTAAGAACTTTTTTTTTTAGTGGAAGATTATGTGGTTGTAGGACCTCTCATGGTTTCAGAGAGGCCTCAGGGCCTGCACCAGGTTTGGCTTCACCTGTCTGTCTGTCTGTCTCTCTCTTTTTAGGAAGGGGCAGTGCACTGGGTTGAGAAACAGAAATTGACAGCGTGTCATTGGCACACCCTGCTAGGCCTGTGAGCCCCAGTTGGGATTTAACTTTTTACTGCAGGCTACAGATTCATTGTAAAATTAAAGGGTTGGAGGGTAGCTCAGTGGTAGAGTGCTTGCCTAGCATATGCAAGGCCCTATTTAATCCCTAGTCCACAAATATAAAAAAACTAAAAGTTAGAAAAAACTGCAATGGAGAAATGACTATTTGCATAACAGTGTTTTTGTTTAAGTGTTCATTATTTTGAAAACTTCACAGAAGTATACAAGATAGTAAGTAACCTTCGCAGCCTTATACTGAGACAAAAAAGTGACACTAGTCATGTAGGATGTATTCTCCAGATACTTTTCTTCACATACCCAAATTTTTATTGTTTAAGTAATTTTTTTTTTTTTTTTACTTTAAACAGCAGGAATTTGTTATTGTTTGAATACTTAAATACAACTAATGATACCAGTCACACAGTTCTCAGGCTGGCTTTGTATTTCTTATGGGGGAGATGGTTTTGAGACAGGGTCTCACCATGTAATCCAGGCTAGCTTTGAATTTGCAGCAAGCCTGCCTCAGCCTTCTGACTGCCAGGATTATAGGCATGCATCACCATGTCTGGTTGGTTTTTTATTTCTTAATGTAGACATCTTTCAAGATATTTCACTATGTACATAGCTATCTCATTCTTACTTTAAACTTTTTAAGAAGAATTATTCCAGTAACTAGTATTGAAAGGTATTTCAGTTACTAGTATCATGGAAGAAAGTTTGTGTTGTTGAGTGTTTTCGTTTTGTTTGTTTGCTTTTGCTATTTTAAACTCTGCTGCAGTGAGTGGGTTCTTTATTTTTGTGTACTTGGGTAAGTATTTTTGCTTAGTGAATTCTTAGATATGGTAGAGCTGGAACAATGTATATGAGCTTTGAAATGGGTTTATTTCACCCATACTGACTACTTACTGTGTGACAGGCACTAGTTGAGGTGTTGGATATACCACTGAACAAGAGTCAGATCCCTCATGTGTCTTGACTTTCTAGTGATGGGGGGAAATTGTACATAGTTTGTCAAACAATAACTGCTAGGGAGAAAAATAACAGCTGACGTATGCATGAGCAAGTGTTGTGACTTTAAATGTCACTAGAAGCTGGGCATGGCGGCGCACACCTGTAATCCCAGCATTCTGGGGAGGCCAAGGCGGGAGGATCACAAATTCAAACCCAGTCTGGGCAATTTAGTAACTTAAGTGGAACTCCAATAAAAAAAAAAAAAAGACTGACTGGAACTCAGTGTGAAGGTCCTGTGTTTAATATTTAGTACTGGTGTGGGGGGGGTAGGAGGAGTCAGAAGATTTTGCAAAACACCGTCCATTAACGTGTTACCTTGTCTTCCCATCAGCAAGGATTTGTCATTTTAAAATTCAGAATTCCAAGGTCAATTATAATGACTGACTGCTAATGGCAGATGTGTTTGTATTTCAGGAAAAATTATGCCAGACTCTGTGCCAAGTTTGTATTATTTATATACACATGCAGGCACACACAGTATCAGAATGTTAAGTTCTTGTTATGAACCCAAGATGTTCACATCCCCTTGGCCCTGTCACCACCGGGGAAGCCATCTCAGAGATGGGCTCACAGGTCAAGGCTGTGTTGTCACATCTTCTGACAATAGAGGATTTTTTATTTTTTTATGGAAGAGAGATCTAATACATGTAATTAATTGCTTAAAGATATAATCGATTCTCATGCCACAAAGCACAAGTATGTGCTTTTGTTTGTTTTATATTTTTTAGAGATGCGGTCATGCTGTGTAATTTAGGCTGGCCTTGAAATCACTATGTAGCCCACACTGGGCTTGAACTCACAACAGTCCTCCTGCCTCAGCCTCCTGAGGGTTAGGATGACAGGTGCTCAGGTAGCTGAGGCGAGAGGATTGGGAGTTTCAGGCCAGTCTTGGCAACATAGCAAGACCCTGGCTCAAAAAAACAAAACAGAAAGGAAATATAGATAAGTATCTTCTAGAGACAGAAAATGCCAGTTATTTTATTATTATTATTATTATTATTATACCCAGGATGTTGAACACAGCTTTTTTCTTGTTACTGTTCTGTTCTTGGCCATGTGACAGAGATTTAGACTTGTTTAGACTGAGAGGGAGAAGCACTGGGCCAGAGGTGGCCTATCTTATTGCAGAGACCATTGGCCCACATCAGGCTTTGCTGTCTTTACAGATCAAGTCAGGGATAGAATCCCTGCTCCACCTGCCTCTGGGAGCAGCTCAGAGGTGTTTCCATAGCACTTGATTCTCCCTTTTCTTCTTGGCAGTGTTGGGTCCCTGTCGAATGGCACTTAGAGCACACATTGAGCCCTTGAGGTATAGGCCTCTATGTTCAGTTGGTTCAAGGCCTGGAGGGGAGGGAAGCAAAGGCAACACTAAACAAGTATGGCAGGGTGGGGTCACTTCTTTTTCAGTACTGAGGCTGAGATGTATGCCAGCCCTTATTTATTTTTGAGACAAGGCCTCCCTGACTTGCTAACTTACCCAGGCTGGGCTCAAACTTGTGATTCTCCTACCTCAGCCTCCTGAGTGCTGGGGTTATAGGTACGTGCCAACACACCTGGCTCATTTATCATTTCTTTCTGATGAAGGCTTTTAAAATACCATCTTCTAGGTTTTTCAAGTGTACAGCTCACTTTTGCTACCTGCCATCACCTTGTTGTGCGGTGGCACCCAACACTTCTTGCCCAGGCTGTGTTGTTTCCAATGCCAGTTAGTGTGGTCATACTGGGGTGTATCGTGATCACAGCCCATGGAGAGCCTGGTCCTTCCGGGTGACCTGTGCCTTGGTGCCAGGTGACTTGGCTGAAGGCAGATCTAAGAATTGTCCTTACTTGGAGTACTGGAAGCAGAGGCCTTCTGTCCCCTTTGTGTAGCATTGCA